ATTACAACTACAGCACCTCTAACAGCCCGCTCGGCAGAGGCCGTGGGACTGGCAGCAGGATCTGGAGGCACCCCTCAAGGGCTGGGCCCTCTGTCATGCCTGCTAAGTGCAGCCGGGTTTCTTTAACATCACTGTCTTTCTTCAAGCCTCGCTCCAGCATCCTAGGAGATATTCACCACACACACTGCCTTCTAAGGCTACCACCTGTTTCCTCATGCTGCTGAGTTTGATTTTGGACTGCTAGGGTTTGTGGAAAGGGCAGGCATGTGCCTGATTTGAGGGAGTCCCTGTCACCATCCCTCCAGGACGGACGATAAATGGAGAGAGCACCTGTTCGGAAACCAGTTTGGCTACATCACAAACCTAGTTATCTGTCATCCTTGCTGCTACCAGAGGGAATAGATATTATTATCCCCATTTTTCAGATGGGGAAACTGAGTTCAGAGAAATGCATTTCTCAGTAGTGTGCACTTATTAAATACATGATCCCAGATTCAAACCTGGGGCGGTGGTCTCCAACATCCTTGCAATTTCTGCCATGCAACCTGCTTCCTCCCTGAGCAAGTCTCCACATAAATGGGCAGAGGCTGAGCAGCTATAGGCGGCTCAGCGGCAAAGAATCTGCCTGCAATGAAGGAGATGTGCGTTCAATCCCTGGGTTGGGAAGACCCCCTGGAGAAGGAAATTGCAACCCACTCCAGTATTCTTGCCTGGGAAATCCCACGCAAAGAGAAGCCTGGCGGGTACAGTCCATGGGGTCACAGAGAGTCGGACACGACTTACTGACTAGACAGCCGCAGCAGGAAACCATGTGTAACTGCCGCGCACAGCACGCTGCAGGCAGAGATTCGACTGGCACCACCTTCTCCTAACTCCGAGTCCGCATTCTCTGCACTGAACTGCCAGTCTCTCCAGGCTGGGAGTGCCGGGCACCCACATGCTGTCGCCTCATTGCTGTCTATTAATTTCTACTTAAAGGGTAAAACGGGGCTTCCCTGGTAGCTCAGACAGTAAAGCGTCTGCCTACAATGTGGGAGACCTGGGTTCGATCCCTGGGCTGGGAAGATCTGCTGGAGAAGGAAATGGCAACCCACTCCAGTATTCATGCATGGAAAATCCATGGACCGAGGAACCTGGTGGACTACAGTCCACAGGGTCGCAAAGAGTCAGACACGACTGAGCAACTTCACTTTCACTTTCACTTAAAGAGTAAAACAAAAAAAGATGTCAGCCTCAGGACCTCTTCTTAAATCAAACTTTTATACCTAGACTGGCTTCTTCCCTCTTAGTCTCTTTCCTGCTAAAATCTGTGCTCAAAACCAGCTGTCAGGATAGACCTCTCCAAACTGCAAGCCTGGCCATGAAGCTCCTCTCTGCGGATCCCCACTGCTCTCAAGATAAACCCCAACCTTCTCATCCAAGTGTGAAGGGTTCTCCATGCCGTGCCTCACCCTAACCTATCACACCTGTTTCACTTCCCACCACTCTGGTTTTTAGACCTGAAATGTATGACAGCCACATTTTCAATGGCTTTAGCAAATTTATATTCATGCCTAGAATTCTCACTCCTTCCATTTTAGCATGGAGAAATCCCATGTTTTTATCAAAGACCAGCTCATGCTGCCTCTTTTTCTTTTTTTCTGGTTTGGATATATTTACGTATTTAAAAAAATTTTTTTAATGGAGTATAGTTGATTTACAATGTTGTGTTAGTTTTAAGTGTACAGCAAGCTGACTCTGTTATACGTACACATGTATTCACTCTTTTTTAGATTCTTTTACACTACCTCTTTTGAGATGACCATCTCCCACCATGGGTCTCTCAACACCTTGTATCCACTCTCACATCTCCACCTTGGCACTCAGCACCTGGTACCCACTTTCACATCCCCTCCTTGGCACTCAGCACCTGGTACCCACTCTCACATCCCCACCGGGGCACTCAGCGCCTGGGACCCACTCTCACATCCCCACCGGGGCACTCAGCGCCTGGGACCCACTCTCACATCCCCACCGGGGCACTCAGCGCCTGGGACCCACTCTCACATCCCCACCGGGGCACTCAGCGCCTGGGACCCACTCTCACATCCCCACCGGGGCACTCAGCGCCTGGGACCCACTCTCACATCCCCACCGGGGCACTCAGCGCCTGGGACCCACTCTCACATCCCCACCGGGGCACTCAGCGCCTGGGACCCACTCTCACATCCCCACCGGGGCACTCAGCGCCTGGGACCCACTCTCACATCCCCACCGGGGCACTCAGCGCCTGGGACCCACTCTCACATCCCCACCGGGGCACTCAGCGCCTGGGACCCACTCTCACATCCCCACCGGGGCACTCAGCGCCTGGGACCCACTCTCACATCCCCACCGGGGCACTCAGCGCCTGGGACCCACTCTCACATCCCCACCGGGGCACTCAGCGCCTGGGACCCACTCTCACATCCCCACCGGGGCACTCAGCGCCTGGGACCCACTCTCACATCCCCACCGGGGCACTCAGCGCCTGGGACCCACTCTCACATCCCCACCGGGGCACTCAGCGCCTGGGACCCACTCTCACATCCCCACCGGGGCACTCAGCGCCTGGGACCCACTCTCACATCCCCACCGGGGCACTCAGCGCCTGGGACCCACTCTCACATCCCCACCGGGGCACTCAGCGCCTGGGACCCACTCTCACATCCCCACCGGGGCACTCAGCGCCTGGGACCCACTCTCACATCCCCACCGGGGCACTCAGCGCCTGGGACCCACTCTCACATCCCCACCGGGGCACTCAGCGCCTGGGACCCACTCTCACATCCCCACCGGGGCACTCAGCACCTGGGACCCACTCTCACATCCCCACCGGGGCACTCAGCACCCGGGACCCACTCTCCCATCCCCACCGGGCACTCAGCGCCTGGTGTCACATGCACTCTTCTGTGAGCTCTGTCCCTTCCAGGTGTGTGTTACCATCTCTGAAAACCCACCGAATTGCAGCGGAGTGCCTAGACCAGGGAGCACTTGTCGATGAACTACACTCAAATCCCATTTCCACAGCAATGTGCAATGTGTTGGCTTTGTTTACTGAAAGCAAAGGTTAGCTGGCTCTGGTTTTTGTGTCTGTTTTTCTAAATTAACTAAATTTCATACTTTCCAGCTTCAAAGGTTTAACTGTCCTAGGAGGAGCCGAATGATTTTAAACCTGAGCTGGGGAGCCTCAGCTGAAAGCTAGCCTTTGAGCCAGGTTCATTCCAGTCCTGCTGGAGTGAAACATTTGTGCTTTCAATGTGTTTATTTTCTTCAGGTGTGCCTTTGAAAGACCCCTGAATCANGAGCCGAATGATTTTAAACCTGAGCTGGGGAGCCTCAGCTGAAAGCTAGCCTTTGAGCCAGGTTCATTCCAGTCCTGCTGGAGTGAAACATTTGTGCTTTCAATGTGTTTATTTTCTTCAGGTGTGCCTTTGAAAGACCCCTGAATCAAATCCATCCTCTTGGAGACTGTTTCTTTTTGTTCTGTGGAAGCCTCTGGCAGGGAGACTTCACATTCGGGACCAAAGGCCAGGAGGAGTCTATCCCACTTGGAATCCTGAGGAAACACACTGGAGTTCTATCCCCCCCATTGCACACACCTTTCCTCTTCTTGGCCTTCACGTAAACCATGAGATGATGAACCAGCTTAGTCTCTTAATGTGCTCAGACACATCTCACTTGAGTTAACAGGCGATGTCCCAAGGAGGTGTGTGTAAACAATGCATATTTCTGATGCATCAGAAAGAAGGGCCCATGTGTGCCCCAGGATGCATCTGGCCCTCTGTGAAACGCATCACCAGCCTAAAAAAAACATGTTTTCCACAGCCAGGAGTGTGTCAAGAATCTGAAACTTAATCCTCAGTCCAATGATCTAGCCTGTACTTGAGTCTGATGAAAAGGATGGGGGGTGAAAGCCACTCTGGCTAGCCTCTTCTGGAGCCTCCATCTGCTGTCACGACTTCACCAAGCCCCCGTTTGAACAAGAAGGGTGAGATCGAACAGGAAACTCTGAAAGTGTGAAGGGGCAGAGGGGAGCTGGGCCTCGAGCAGCTACAGGGAGATGGTGTCCCTTTCTCATCCACTATGCTTTATTTTTCTTTGTCGTTCTGCCTTGGAATCATTTACTTCCCAAAAGATAGACAGGAAGAGACACCTGGGGGAGAAAGGCACAGCAGAGAAGCTGAATATGTTCCAGACTTCTGGTTTAAACCCTTAAAGTGGTTGAGCTGAACCGTTTTTGCTGTATATGGATACCCATTTTCCTCAGTCCTCTGCCAATTAAAGCTGCTGAATAAAGCTATAAATAAATAAATGTGTGTTTTATGTGTATGCAGTTCTTTGGTTTTACTTTGGGTTACTAGGCAAGGACTGCGGAGAAGCGAAGACCCACCCCTCTGCCCCACAGGACCAGGCTGGTTAAGGTAATCTTCCTTCAAAAGCTCCTGTAAAAATAACCCTGAAGCAGTGAGTCCAACTGCCCACAGTGACCCTGTAGAAATTTAGATTTTCATATAACTGGGTTTACTGACAATAACCAAACCCACGGGGAATCCTCTTTCCTGGAAGTTCATGACAATAAGTTGCAGCTGTGTGTCTCCTGTTTTAAACTAGGATAAACCTAGCGGGGGACTTCCCTGGTGGTTCAGTGGTAAAGAATCCGACTGCCAATACAGGAGGCGTGGGTTCCATCCCTAGGTTGGGAAGATGCCCTGGAGAGGGAGATGGCAATCCACTCCAGTATTCCAGCCTGGGAAAGCCTATGAACAGAGGAGCCTGCTGGGCTACAGTCCATGGGGTTGCAGAGAGTCAGACAAGACTTAGCGTCTAAACAACAAACTCAGTGGATTTCAGCAAAGTGGGGCAATCATTTTCCTAATTTCCCATGTGTGAGTGGCAGCCAAAGCCAGAACCAAACAGAAGCCAGGAAAAGAGGGACGGGGAGCCACCGTCCCTTTGCGCCACGTCAGGGCGGCGCTTACCTGTGACCATGCTCAGTGCTGACAGGCAGGCTAAGGCTTGGATATCAAGGTTCAGGCTCTGCAAACTTAAGGAAAAGTCTTTAATGGAGTCGAGCCACTCCCCAAATCCACGAAGGCACTGAAGTCGATGCAGGACAAGTCCGTTGCAGAACACAAACTTATCTTCAGCAGTGTTTGACCTACGAGAGAAAGTCATCGGGGGGTGAGGATAGACACAAAAATAGGCCTGTTCAATCTGTCCAGTGGGATGACATCATAAGGCACCAGTACCCACACAGCTTTGGGCAGCCTTCAAAACCCAGCATGGTGCTGTGACACCCACCCAGATGCCCTCCATGAACAGCCCTGGGATAAACAACCACTGCTAGTGGTCTGCTGACTCCCCTGGTAAGCCTCAGCCCTGGCGGTGCTCGGAGCAGGGCGTGAGCTCCCTTATGGGCAGATGCACTTTCTGGCTTGCCCTGGGAAGGATGCTGGAAGCGAAGCCCAGTGCCCTGTCTCTCTGCGCCACGAGCACGAGACTGTTCCCTCCAGTGCTCCTCTGCCAGGAATTCTCTTTCATTTTCTTAAATGTTGAAAACTGATAAGGCCCGAGGTTAGACACTACAATTCCACTGTGCAGACTCTAAAAACACCAAGTCCTCTCAAGCGCCAGAAATCAGCCATAAACTGGACAATGGTCTAAAGTAAAAAGAGTCCTTGTTCTGCACTACACTCTCCGCTTTTAGCAGCTGGGCTGTGGAGGGCTACTTCTCAACCCACCCTGACAGTTTATATGACTTCCGCAGTGATCCCACTCTTCTCTCATGGAAGGCACCCTGGAACTTCTAGTTAGCACCACTTCTCTGTGGAGTCTGGGCACTTGTTTAATCTTTCTGCGTTTCCTTATCCTTATCTATAAAACAGGAATTCTAATTGCTACCTCCAAAGAATGTTGTTGGAATTAAATAAAATAAAGAATTTGAAAGTCTATGCACAGTGCCTGAATACAAGAGGAGCCCAGCCAGTGTTAGGTGTAACTAATTCTGAATTTTAGGTGGACCTTAACTTAATCTTAACTCTCCTTTAATTTTCAAATCTCTTGCCACATCTCTCTCTTGGCCCATTGCAGTAACATGTTAACATCTCTTTAGCTGTGCTTTTCAGAGAAATAACTTCATTCATTCATTCACTCAGCAAGCACTTCTTGAGCACAAAACCAGTGCCGTTCCTTGGCTGGACGCTGGAGAAAACCTGATGAGTAGAGCCGACATGGTGTCCGCCCTCATGGAGCTGATCTCCGACTTAATCCTTTGCTGCCTGCCGAATAGATCGCAGTCATATTGCTGATTCAGCTTAGCTCCTGCACATGCAGGATTGGCTGTAATTATGCTAATTACTGGCGGTCTGGTTGTAACTCCACTTCGGTTTCCCCCACAGATCCCTCCCCAGAGGCATGCATGCACAGGACAGAATGATTCCGTCTCAGGGTTTAAAACCCCGACCTCAGACCAGTGGCATCAGAATTGCCAGAAGATGACTTAAAAATGCAGATTTCTAAGTTAATATGTCACACTATGATTATATATATTGTTTCTTTTCCCTCATATTTCTTCTGATTTTTGCTTTATGTATCTTTGTTTCTCTGTTGTTAGGTGTCTAATGGTTTATGATGTCTATCTTCTTTGTGAATTGTACATTTCATCATTAAAAATATTCAGCTTTCATTTTAAAATATCAATAAGTACATTTAAAAATGCAGATTTCTAGACTTGCTTCAACGTAGATCCAAACCAAAACAGCTGGGAATGAGGCATGGGAATTTGTATCTTAAATGAGAGTTTTTGGTAACATGGTGCGAAACCAGGGAGTGGGTAGCAGGGAAGGGAAAGAAGGGAAAAGTGACGGTTTTTCCTATAATATTGGCAAAATGTTGATACCATCTCCTATAAATATATAACTGAAAGGAAGCAAGGAAGATAGAATTTAAAATGCTACATGTGAACTTTATGGCAGAAGCTTAGACTCCAGGTTCTAGCTTTGTTGAAAAATCAGTTTCTCTTTGTTTGTGACGTCAGAGTGCGGTGAGCTGAACCGAATCTATTGATCCAGAAGCTCTCCTCTTGGAGTGAATACTGGAGGCTGCAAAGCTGTGGGGACTCTTTAGCGCCCCCTCTGGTGCATAAGAGAGTAACACCAAATGGAAACCCGGGACGCAAGGGCAATGCTGCAAACACGGGCTCCCAGGAAACGCCTTCTGCACCGCGAGTCTGCCTGGAATCAGAATGACGGCGCTGCAGGCGGCTTTGCTCTGTGTGGTGCTTGGTCGCTCAGTCGTGTCCGACTCTTCGCGACCCCACAGACCAGCCGGCCAAGCTCTTCTGTCCACGCAGATTCTCAACGCAAGAATACTGCAGTGGGTTGCCGTCTCTTCTGGAGGAAACCTTTCTAACCCAGGGATCAAACCCAGGTCTCCTGCAGCGCAGGCAGATTCTTTACCAGCTGAGCTACCAGGGAAGCCCACCAACTGCCAAATCCAACCTTCTCATTGTATGAAGAAGGAAACTAAATTTCTGATGAAGCAAGTGACCTGCTTAGGGTCTTACAACAAGTCTGTTAAAACAGACTAGAACCCAGGAGACCCGGCTACCAGCCCAGTGTTCGATCCACTGGTCAGTTTTTTAACGCCTGGTCATATTACATAAGTCCTTCTTGACCAAACTTTTCCCCACTGACTTAAGTTAATAATCCAGCAGGTTTCAAACTTCTTCAAAGGAAGGAGTGGACTAAAGGAAGATAAAAGAGTAGTAATTACCTGATGGAAAGTCTGAGAACAAACAGCTCCAAAAAGGCTGATTCTATAAGTAATGTCTGATCTTCTTTGGGGAGATCAGTGAATCCGGGAATCTTCTCTGCCCAGCTTCTGGATACATCAATGGAGGCTGTTAGAAGGTTGTAGAACTGCTGCACATGCTCAGCGTCCGTGCCTGCGGCAGCCTGGTCAGTGGGACAGTACTGGAAGGCAAACCCCAGAGAGCAGCGTTATCTCAGTCCAACAGGGCTGACAGCAGCATTTGCTCATCGGCTCTTGCAAGACTGTCAATGCCTTCTCTTCTCAGGAGGGCTTTCTTTGACCACCAGAGCCCACTCTCACTGTGACAGACAGCAGAAAGTGCTAGAAATTAGCATCCTTCCTGGAGAACCTCAGTCAGTGGGTTGGTGGATAAATAAGCAAGCTGTGTACCCCCTGGGTGGGGTAACTACAGTTCAATGCAGGTTCTACACTGTCTCCTAGAGTCTTCCTTTGGGACCAAATGTCAGCCGCCCACACGGTGTTTTATGTGATGCAGCACATTGTATTGCTTGCTTCTCTTACAAGTTTTAGTCCTCATCCCCCTAATTTCCAGCACCTTCTAAGAACACAATTTGCACAAAAAAAAAAAAAAAAGATCATCAATGCCTAAATCGTTACTCTTGCGTCCTACAGTTTATAAAACCTTTTTGCACTCATAGTCTCATCAGATTCTCACGATAGCCCTGTGACATAAACAGAGTGGATTCTGTTACCACTTAATAGGCAATGAAATTTGCTTAAGCCCCATAAATGCACTGGTTTTCAGTCCTGACTGCAATCATCTGGGAAGCTTTAAAAAACACTCATGTCTGGGTCATAGCCACAGAGATTCTAATTTAACTGGTCTGGGATGGGGACTGGTCATCAGGAGTTTTTAAAAGCTCCCCAGGTGATTCCAAAGGGCTGCCGGTGTTGAGAGTCATCACCCTAGGGGGTTGTCTTTGTGAGCCTCCAGGATCCACAGAGTCCCTAAGGCAAAGCTGTCTCCAAACAAGATGTTTAATTAACCCCTGGTTCTCAAACTGTGGTCCTTGGACCAGCAGCATCAGCAACACTTGGGAATGTGTTAGAAGCAAAAATCTCCAGCTCTGCCCCAGACCTACATAATCAGGATCTCTGTGGGGAGTAGCCCAAGAAACTGTTTTATCAAGATCTCCAGGTGAATTCTCATGCGCAGTGAAGTTTGAGAATCTTGGAATGAACCAATTCGAGATGAATGCTTACAGTTGATGGATTTCTGAGAGATAAGACAAAAAAGGAGTGGGTGGGGGAGGAATGTGTCCTCGGCATGGCCCAGGCAGACGGGTGCCATCAGATGCAGGACTTGTGGCTACGTAAACGAGTGGAAACCCTCGATCACACGAGCCATATTTCAAGAGCTCAGTAGCTGCCATGTGGCATAGAACATGTTCTGTTGGACAGCACTGACCTAGAGGGCTCCAGGAGAAGGAAGGTACAGGCAGGATTAAAGTCTCTACCCAGCTTTTAGCCATGTGGGTGGCGTCAGCATTTTGCTTGAATCATTGAAGGAAAATCTTTCCTGCTTCAGGCAGAAAGATTGATACAGCAAAGTAATAATCCAGGGACAACCAACAACAGAGACTGAAGAGATATGCAAAAACCTTCATGTCATGTGCATCGTTGCCTTCACAGAAACACAGCCGATGGTGCTTTTGTGTCTCCTTTCTCAGTTATCTTCCACGGGCACGGAGTTTAATCCTTATTTTACAGATGAGGAAACTGAGACTCAAGGAAGCTCAGAGAGGCTAACAGACTTTCCCAAGTTACATGCCTCTGTGGTTTCCAGTCCTACACCTTCTGGCTATGAACAGTTCTGATATTACGGGCTGGTGGCCGGTAGGATAGTTTTAAAAAGGATTTTGCTTTGATCAATGGAAGACTAGAGCATATGTGTATGTGAGAATTTACTCTGTATTTACACCTGTATTAACAGGTGGCATTTAAAAAAAAAAAGTATTTTGCTCTCCATGTATATATTCATTTGGTCTCATATTCTGTCACCACAGTGACTGGGACAGAATTGACTCTCAGTGACTAAACAATGACAGTAAGAAACCGTTGCTGAATACTGCTCAATGAAAGAACAGTCACGGGAGTACCTAGGTTTGCCACAATGCTCTAACCTGGATGGAGGACAAATAGGCAAAGAGCAGACATGTTCTCAATTACAGAGACCTGAAGAAAGAGGCCCTTGTCTGAATCGGGTCTCCCCCCATCCCACCGTGTCTTCCCAGAAGGCATCATGAAATAACAGAAGAAACGTCAGACAAGGAGCCCGGTGGCTTCGATCCTGGATTTGCTTAGGCCCCTAGTCTGTGACATCATGTAGCTCTGCTGCTGTAGCTGTCCAGGGTAAACTGCTTAGCTTTTCTGAGCCTCAGTTCTCCCTTCTGCGCAGTGCTGGTACTATCTTCCTCAACATTTTGTTGCAGTGATTAAATGTGATACATATGTGGAAAACCTGGCACATAACACATGAAGACAGTAATGACACCGATAATGATTTTGATTTTCAGAATTATCACTGTCGCTCAGCTCCCATGTTATAAAATGAGGGGTGAGGTTGAACTGGAAGGTTCCTAATTTTCAGCCTGACCTTCTAGGGTCCCATAATATCAGGTCCAGCTCAAAGTCCTGGCTCCTCTGTTCCCAATAATCTGCCCAGGGCCAGGATTCTATTAATATGAGGTCCTGGATGTTCTGAGTTGGAATGGTAGGAAGGCATGGTAGAAGGAAGCAGTCCCCTCTCCTCTCCATGGATGTTCACGGATGGCAGCATGATCTGGTGTCACAGACACTCCCCACCACCTCCTTTCGGCACATGTACTATTAACTGGAGGAGAGCGGGGAGAAGAAGGTTTTCTTTTTAAACTTCCTCTTCTTACGTGAATCTAATTCCAAATGTTCCCCACAGGCAGCATGAAATTCAAGGCAGCACCACGTTTAGAAAACTGATAGCCCTACATGTGAGATCTCAGGTAACTGGGAGTTGAGGAAAGAATGTTGGATCAGACAGCACATCTCCGCCAGGCTGTGACACTGACTTGCTGTGACGCCTAGATAAGGCACTTAACTTCTCTGGGCCTGTTTCTGCTTCTCAAGTAGGAAGTGACTAGACTAGCCAATCTCTAAGATTCCTTTGGCTCTCATATTCAGTTGTCTTTCTGTTATTGATTTCTAGTTTAATTCCAGGGTGGGTTTCATGGCAGACACGGTATGATTTCTATTCTTTTACAGCCCCGACCATCATCTATCCTGGTGGAATGTTCCACATGATGGCTCTGCATTCAGTGATTCTAAATATTGCTAATCACATCAGGTATGATGGTGGTGTTGCCAAGAATTTGATACTAATTCAGCCTTATTGTTTCAAAGTAGGGTGTTAAATGGAGAGAAAAAGACTAAAGAACGTCAAGGAATGGGACCTAACAGCTCCCTCCTACACTGTTGTCCCGAAAGCAGGGCTCACAATTCAATAATCTCCCTGCTTCCAGTATTTGCTCAGAAGCCTCAGAGCACTTAGCTTTCACCCAGGGTCCTCTGCACGCCTCTGCCCCTGCTGGGCTCACATTTCATGCGTCCTAAACACAGGGAGATGCAGCGGCTGCCTGTGTATGAGGTTTTCTCTGACGGAGTCCAGCAAGGAGGAGAGCCAGCAGGCCCCGTGTGCCAGACTCCAGCCAGATTCTCTGGGCTTCACCTGCAGTGATTCCGGTTCACGTTCCAGAATTCTGGAGCCAAACTGGATTCAGTCTGAGCCACCAGTAACTAGGAGGTGACTGGAGGGTCAGCATCAACTTCTAGGGGTGAGAAATAAATCAAGCGTCCCCTCTATTGAATATAAGGTTTAAAGAAACAGAACAAAACATATTAGAGTCTCTCTCTGCCTGGGCTAGCAGTTTATAAACACCCCGCCGTGAAATGCTGAGCATGGAGTTGAAAGAACCAGACCCTAAGGCCTGCTTCTGTACTCCCCTATATTGCTCTGTCTCTGGGCTAAGCAGTTTGGGGTTCACCAAAGAAAATCTGGAATAATTTGTTTATTGATCATTCCAATCAGATATAGGCAAAATAGAGAAAGACCTTAAAAGTGAATCTTTTTTCCTCTTTATGCTAATGTTGTATTCCAGCCTTTATGGATAACTGATCCATCAATAATCAGATTTTACCACTAGTCAAAGACACAGGATTGCATTTACTGACAGCTAATGTCTAATGCAGATTTCTCTGAAGGACTTAGACTGGGAATCTAGGACCGCAAGCAACAAATATTATTTAAACTAAATGAGTTGACACATTTCAAATGGTAATACCATGTATGTACAAGTCAGATTTCAGACACAGCCTAGGCCTAAAATAAATTATGCAAGACCTTTGGTGAACACCAGCCCTAAAATTTAGCAATGTGATGTTTTCATAGCAGAATGGAATCTGATACTCACTCTATCTCACCGTCAGTGAGGGCTATATATGTAAAATGTCTTAAGAACATTTTATTTTCCCTTACAATGTTACTTTTCCCTGGGTCCTTATATTTCAGATGTTACTATTCTATGAGTCAGACTATGTATACATAGTCTTAGGATCTTACTCTTTAAAAACTGACACTTTAAAAACAGGCAATTAATATAATTTTCCCCAAATTTCTTCTTTTCTGATCTAATTGCCTCCTTTCTCTAAAAAACAAAAACAAAACCCCTAAACCCTCCTCTCTTCCCAAAATGGCATCATTGCAGTTACATATGGGTTTATTTTCTGTCTCCGCCTGTAAGCTCCATGAAGACAGAGTTGCATCTTGTTCAATAATGTGTCCACTGCTCTGGAAGAATGGTTCAGTGAGTCAATTACTTTCTGTCAAATTCATGTCTATTGCTCATTCCTTCTCAATGCCAGGCAAGCTGGGAAACAGGAGATTCGGGGTAAAACGGAATTGTTCTTATTAAATTATAATGATGGTTCTTAAACCTTAGTGTGCCAAAGAACCATCTGAGGCCTTTTTAAAAACATAGATTCCTGCCTGCTTTCCCCGTCCCCCAGTTCTGAGTCAGTAGGCCTGTGTGTGGCCCCCGGAATCTGCATTTTAAGCAAACACCTTGGCTCCTTCTGATGCAGGCAGTCTGGGTACTGCACTTTGGGAAATGGAGACTTGTACTGACAGGGGAATTGTAGCAGGTATAACGGTCACAGGGTCAGGGAGTGAGAAGGCTGGAAGGGATTGTGGTACTGCATTTAGTCCAATCTCTTCGTCACTCAGATGAGAAAGCTGAGGCCCACAGCGGGGCAGAACCGGCCTGAAATCATCCAGTGGGTGAGTGGCCATTTGAGAGGGTCTTTGAAGTAGCTTTAAGAAGGACTCTGAGGAATCTTCATGTGGTTTATACTTTGCAGGTCTAACATGTGCCAGCTGCGTTGTTTCTTAGGCTATCCTGTGAACACATCTAAACTCCACTTGCTGGTGCCGGGTTGTATCTGCACTGTATCTTGTTTTTGGAGTCTGTTACAGTGCTAAGTGATACTCTCACCAGAAAACATCCTAGCTCGCTGACAAATACTTAAAATGACCAACAAATGAGGACGCGAAGTACACTTTCTCATTAGTAATTACACAGGCTCTGAAGTCAAGTCCGGTATCTATATATACTTGTGATGCTAAATTAAAAGCAACTGTGGGTAGAGAACAGCAACATTTTGAGGCGAAACAAATCAAATCTGACATGTTTTGACTGCACTGATATATACTGATCTGAGCTCACTTTTGAAGGAGAGAAGTTTGGCCCAAAGGAGAGGAGAAGGTCTCAGGGCCAGGAACGCTTCATAGAGCGAGGAGCAATCTTTCTGGCCTTGAAAACACCCTTCCCTCTGCGACTTGGAACAAGTCCTCCACCTCCCTGTCCCACAGACCAGGAAAACACTCTCTTACTACCTTAAAGGCACACAGGCGGGGACAGGAAGATTAGAATGAACCTGTCTGGCAAAATGTTTTCTCGTTTCTCTGATTCACTGGGGGAAGGTAGCCTCTTTAATAAATTGTTTTGGTCATGTTCAACTGTCTGGCTCAAAACTGACAGTGCATATTCTTATTTAAAATGTAATAAATTATGTCTACCACTATGGTATGGTTTAAGCAGGAATAAATGAAGAAGATACTTTCATTTTTCACTTGATTCACTTCCAAATGGTTTGCCTTTTTCAAACCATGAGTATATGTTACTCTTATTGTAATTTAAAAAATCTAATAAAGACTTATGTTTGAAAAAAACAACAACAACAAACTAGTACATTTCCTTTAAATGGAATGGCAATATGGTGAGAAACATACTCTCTTGAGGGATAAGATTTGGGTCTAACCCTTTGCCACTGACTTTAGGTAAGCCACTTAATCTTTTTAAACTTTTATTTACTCTTCTGAAAATATGAGTGTTGGATTAGATTACCTCAAGATCACATCCAGTTCTCTGAATTCTTAAATAAAAACTTTAAAGAGAAGGTAATATGAAAACTGAATTCCAATGAATGATATTTTAAAAATGACTGAAACCATAAATTATACCACATAAACTAAATATATGTGATGGTACCTGGCTCAGAGTGGACTTTCAATAAATTCATTTTGCTTCATTCATTTTATGTTAATTTTTTAAAAGAGAATGAAGCAAATTCAATCTTGTGAAGTAACAAGTTACTTAACAACACACATTCTTATATGTACATCTCTTCACTTGCATTTAGGGACAATAAGGTAGAGCCTAGAATCATGAAATCTTAGAGCTGGAGGAACTTAACATCAGCCAAAACAACCTGTCTCCTCGTGAGGAACCCTGTAAAAAGTTCTCCTTACGTTTCTTCACACTTCCATAGCAGTTCTTAGAACCAATAGAACTCTTTCTTGTCCTCAGAATGGGCTGGAAAGGCCACTTCCTTCACCCTCTAGATCTGCCCTTGGGAGAACAGTCCTCTTGGTCACATGGCAGAAGTGTGGCCTAGTCCCACCAAACCTACTCGCTTTCTGTCTACATACTTCCATTTCCTCCAACCATCCCTTTCAAGTTTTCAGAAACAGCGTGTCCATTGCCCTCTTAAATCCCAGCCTGGAACTGAACGCCATCCTTGAAGTGTGGGCCGACAGCACAGAGCCCATGGGCGCCACCGAGTCGGTCCTGGTCCTACCCTTCTTCTGCAGAGGCCGGAGCTAACGGAGAATCCTTCCCACCACCACCTAAACACATCGGTGGTTCTTACTGAGCACAGGGAATAAACTCCTGAGAGCTTCTCAACATGAACCACTGACAAGCTGAGTCTCTCCCATTTAAAAAAATTCTAAATGCTGAGCTTCACATTTATTTTTGTTAACTTTCTCCATGATGGTTTCATCCATCCTGTTCCAACCTGTCGAAATCACTCTGAATGTTGATACTGACATCCATCATATTAGCGATCCCTCCCAGCTTTCTGTCATCTGCAAATGTGATCAGCATGCCTTCTATGCCTTCATCCAAGTTTTTGATGAAAACTCACTGTATTTTTTAAAAAAGACTTTTAATTTAATTGATTTGGGTCCAATTTTTTATAATTTTGTAAAGCTATCTAAAAGCAGGAGAATCCAAGCTATGAGGTTCAATCTGATTCCAAAACAATGCAATTAAAATAAATATGCTTTGCAAAATTGAGCCAGGCCCCAGAGGTAGTATCATCGTGACCCAGACTCTGGCATGGTCAATCTGCTATTTTGGACAAAGCTAACAATTAAATTGGATAAATGTTTGTCGATGAGGATGATGACTCTAGTCTAACACACCGAACGGTGCAGAAACAAGCAGACACAGTGGATGGATGTTTCCGTGTGGAGACAGTTCCCAGCTGGGACAACGCAAAGTCCAGGACAAGCTTCGCCACTGAATAACTGATTAGGCCGTGTAGACCAATAATTGGATGATTGCCCCCCCCCCCCNCAGAGTACTGAGCTAAAACTCTGACAAGTATCTTATTTAAATTTTATAAAAACAATCCTGGGAAGTAGATATTATTATTATTATTCCATAACACAGATGAGGAAGGTGAGATGCTAAAAGATTTAATCAGTTGCTCAAGGTCACCCAGCTTGGAATGGATTGGTCATTCCAATACATGATGGTATTGGAATTTTACTTGAGGCCTGCACAGTTCCAAAGCCTTAGCCCTTTAACCATTGCATTATTCAGTTAAACTATTATTTGAGATTTGGCTTCAGTCAAGAGATGCTACTTGTAATCAGAACAAGAGTCCTCAACCTTTGATGCCAAGGACCTGCCATGCTTCTCATAGGAAGTCTTGTGCTCCAGAGAGCAAAGGAGGCCTCCCAGCCTAGAAGGAGGGAGGAAGACCACAGCAGGTATACCAATCAGCCTCTCATTTTCGTCAACACTACAACCTAAGCAGAGGGCAAGAGCAGACACACTCACACTCTTGGCCAACCCTTCACCAGAAGTTCTGGGTACTGACTGGACCTGGAGAAGGCAATCTGGTCATTGCTGCCAAGCCAAATCAACCAAATGGGGATCCCTTGACTGGTTTCTCTCTTCTCTGTGTGCAAACTGTGTTTCTAAGTTTCCTTGTCTTGGAGTGGGAGTAACTATCCTTACAGTTTATGGTTCTTTAAATGGTTGTTAGATGAGACAAAGTACCACGATGTCTAGCAGGTAGAAATGGCTGAATAATTATGATCTTTTTCCTTTCTTCTCTTCTCTGGTGAGACCCTGCCTTACTAGAAGTTTGCTTTTCTAAGTCTCTTTTAAAACTGTCTTCCAGTAACATTTATACATTTGTTCAGAAAATCATTCTTCTTCATGTTATCCAAATTTCTGGGAATTTTCAGGTTTCAAACTGGTGATATTTCATTATGTCCCATATGAAATAAAAGTGTTGATATATTTTGGTTGACTTAACAACACTGGTGTTCATTTACAGTTTCAGATGTTTTCTCAACCATTGCTCCCATGTGACTGATGTTCAAAACATCCCTCTGAGGTTAAATATTGTAATCATCTCCATTGTAAAGATGAGAAAACCAAGAGCAGGAGTCAGGTGACCCAGGCGGGAAACATCAGAGGCAACACTCCATCCCAGTTCTCCTGACACCTCCTGACGTCAAGGCCAGAGCTAGCTCCTCTCCATCAGTGGTCTAATCCCTTTGCATAGGCATTAGGTCAATCAATGCCAGTGCAACTGGGTAAACTGTTTAAGGATAACTTGAGGCTTACCCAGCTGGTTTGGTCACAATATGAAAAAACACAGTAGTCATGTTGTCTAAAGCAGGAAAGCAATGTATAAATTGTAATTCACCTGTGCAGATTTTCATCGGCACAACCATCAGGAATCCTGCAACAATGGGTATGACAGGTGCAGCACTGTCAGGGTCATTCATTAAGGCATTTAGAGATTCAATAAGGCAAAAATTATTTGGTGCAATGGATGCACCGGAATTGCTAAGTGAAGTGAAGTGAAGAAATAGAGAAAAGGTATGAAAATGGTTGAGCACAGTGCCAGACACAGTCATTCAATCCAGGCTTATTACTAGCATCATGAATAGAGACCCTGATCATTCACTCAAAAGCAGGATGTCATAAAACTTACTCTGGAATAATCAAGATCTCTGGGCGTTGAGTCTGTTAAAGCTCGGACAAGGGCATTCATCATACAGATCGGAGGAGAAGGTGGAGAGGGCTGAGAGGCTTCCTGCTGTAATGGGCTCTTTGGTTTGGAAGGCAGCCGACCTCTCCTCCCTTTCAGACTGTCTGTACGGACAACTGATACCAAGAGAAAAAAAAGAAAAAACGTCTCCAAAGATATCCACAAACAGCCATAAATCACAGAAAGGAAACAAACACTTTACAGTGGAGGAAATCGTTAAACGAGACCGACCGTTTAAAAGTGGAAAAAGTTTGGAGTAACATCCCCACAATGATTTAATGAGAGTTGAAACAGGCAGCGTAACAGCCACCCCATACGTACATTTGGTAATGAATTAGCCCTAAAAGTCTCCTTCTCAAATAGAAGGAAGATGTATGTACACAAGCTCTCTATTGATTTTGAGAAATTAGAATAAGCAGACCTCTGCTATTTTTAAATGTAAATACACCATAAAAATAAAATGCTGAAAGGAAAGGGAAACTAGGAAAATTTACCATCCCAATGCAAATATTAACTTTTTCCAGGGATATCTGAGAATATTTATAAGCAAGTTGGATAAAAAGCATTATACCCATACCTTCTTTAACCATTCCGACACTGAGACACTTCTGAAATCGACAGTACTGACATCGGTTTCGACGTCTCTTGTCTACGGGGCAGTTTTTATTTGCCAGGCAAACATATTTTGCATTTTTCTGCACTGTTCTCTGAGGAAATACAATACACAGATAGTCAACTAATAGTTTCTGGAAAGAGGTAGGACCTGACAAGATGTATTTTAATTACAATGTGAAAAGCGACAGTGCAATTCGTATAATTAGATAAATTTAATTTCCTAACACGCTAGCCTGCAGGAAAAACAATTTTATTAGTGTTAGCTGCTGACAATGAAAATCATCTCGGATTGTTCTGAAGCAAGTCTCAGGAGACATCTAAGTCTGAATGATAAAATCATATCTGAAATTACCAGGTCAACATATCATACCTTGGAGGATTAGATTATCTTCACTTTTAATATCCCCTTGGGAACAATTTTGTACTTGGTCCACTCCCCTGATTATTGCTGACCTTATTAAAATAAAATCAAAATTATCTGGGATATACTTTGTTGCCTATCACTATAGTAAGTCAAATATCACAGAAACTGGCTTTGTCCGCCAATAGAGATGAAATCATAAAAAGCAAAAATGAGGATTTCTCTAGTTATAACATAGGAAATAAAGTTTTTTAATGCAAGAACAAATCACTTAATCAACCTTTGCAGTGTATGTTATTTTTAAAAGAATGGTAAGCTGTCGATTTCTGACTTTTGAAAGTAAAGATTTAAAACTGGATACTAAAAACCACTATCACATCCAAGAAAAAACAAACAAACAAAAAAGAATGAGATAAAGGAAGGAATATGAGGGCCATATATTTTCAATGAAAATTCCCATTAATAGGCTATGTCATAAATGACTATTGACATGAACAAAATAGCTATATTGTAAAAGATGCTACATTAAACTTGGGTATGGATATAAAATAATGTTGTATTCTTCAGAATCACATACAATTTTAAAATGAAACATGAAATAATAAAAGATATTTTATGCTCCAGATATAAGAGAATGCTTGATTTAAAAAAATAAAAATAATCTGTGCAAATGGATGTATATTCACCATTCATTCAGAAATTACCTGAATCTATTCAACTCCAAATAGAGCAGAAAGGTGAATTTATTTGGTAAGCCTGGGCTACATGAAAAAAAAAATCCAGGTAATCTGGGATTGGTGATCTATTTTGTGTCTAAAATTCTAGATTTACTTTCTATCTTTTTAAATTTTCAGCAATTCTCAATCCTCTTGTATCAGTTTTTACTCTATCACCTTTTAATTTCATTTTAAGAGATCATTTCTAAACTGCTTACATAAAATTTAAAGTCAGATACATTTTCCCTGCTTTAGCAGGTGATTCTAGTTCAAAATGAGAAATTTCCAAGATACAACATACTTCTGATGCTTCCAGCATTTAAATTTGCAGCAGTCTGTAAGGGTAGGAAACCTGTGTTTCCTGAGTGAAGCTCTCTTTCATTGTAATTAAAAGCTCTCTTTCAAAGTAATTTTAGAAAGCTATATCTCTTGTCATCATCCTCAAGGATATACCAATTTGAGGGCTGGTGGCATTTTGCGTCAGGTAGATGCTTTCCCAATAAACTGAAACCTCCCTAACATTCGTCTGCCTGCAGAGATCGTTATGGTTCAATCACTGAATTCCCATCATTAACTGCACTTCATGTCACATTTTTAAAGAATTCAATTTAATGGTAGAAAGCCACTGGGTAAAACATGCTCCTGTCCTCCCTTAATTAACAGATCTGTGGGGTGGTTCTCCCCGATCCTACCCCACCCTTTCAAGTATAGATTTGTTTTCAAGGCATTGCTGTAGAAAAAGGAGGCTTGTTGGGGAACACAATGACATTTCTAGACCAGGAATGTATTATCACTCCTGCATTTAGGTCAACTCTCAATTATTCAGGGGTGGTTATATTTATGGATTACTTATACTTCTCGTAATTGTTTTTCTTTCTTTTCCCCCTTCTGACTGCCTGTTTCAATGCCTTTCAGCATTTCCACTGCAACACTGTAAAAATCAAATCTGCTGAAGAAATGCAATTACTTGACAGAAAAAAAACGGCTGAACTGACAGTTCTACATTTAAGACATCATAATCTAGCATACCTCTTGTATGGTGCTTAATATATTGTAAAATCTTTCCACAAACATTTTCTCATTTGTCTGCAGAATTTAATTAATCACATGATTCCTATCTCCAGATCAAAAATAACTGTTGCTTGTTGGTATGTATACCAATGTACACATGTGCATTTTTCATAAATACTTTGTAGTTTTCATTTACAATGTACAATTCTTTTATGACCCTTTAAAAATTATAAAGTATTTTCATAAATGTTTTATCTCATTTAAAACTAACACGTCTTCTCTGAATTGTATTCACCTGATAGGGAAACTGAGGTCTGGTAGGAAGTGTCCTACCCAACATAATAAAATCAATAGGTGACAGATCAAGGATTCCTTTCTGGGTATTCTGACTCTTTAATTCCAGCATGCTCTAAGATCCAGCCTATTGGCCTCCCAAATCCTCATTACCCAATCAGCATCCACCATCCTCTCTCTCCACCCTGGCCAGCACTGGAGGTTAGGAAGTGACAACTGTGGGAGAACATTCTTGGGTTTGCAAACACCTGATGCAATGACCAAGGCAGTGAGAATAGGGAGGGTGGCACAGAAGTAAGTGTCTGGGGTCAAGACCAAAGCAGGGCAGCAAGAGCAAGGCCTCTTCTCTCTGAGTGTTGCAGAGAGCGCTGAGCTCCAGAGTAGCAGAAACTAGCTGGAACTGTCCCCATGTGCCACTGAATCACCTAGCCTTCAATATCCTCATGGGTAAAAGAAGGGGGAGGCTAAAGACCCCTCCCGCTGTAAAATTCTCCTTTGGGTCTATGAGCTAATGAAGAGTGTCCACACCTGGCCTTGTGTGTGGCACAGAAGTGGAGCAGATTGGTGAGACTCCAGTTCTCTCTTCTGCAAGGGGAGCTGCCCTAAGCTGCATTCCCCAGATGCCCCTGTCTCTTCTTCAGCTGCTGAGCTGTGAAGAAAGCATGCACTTTGGGGTCATGCAAACACCAGTCGGCATCCTGCCTCCATCTCACTTTCTGAGTGTGTGTCCAGGGGCAGTGAAATAACTTCTCTGAGCCTCCATTTCCTCATCTATAAAACAAGGATAACTAATTTAAACCCTCAAGATGCTGTTCATAAAACTAGCTAGTGGGTGGCCAAAATTCAATCTCAGTTCTGTCTGATCTAGAGTCCTAGCTCTCACTAGGAGGATTAAATGAGATACAAATACCCAAGGCATGGCACGCAAGACTCTATTCCCTCAGACATTTGGGATGGATAGAAGAGGAATACAGAGAGGTGTGTATATTTCTGAGGTCACAGATCCCTTTGTGAATCTTCCGAAAGCTCTCTCCAGAAAAGATTGCAGCCGGTAAAGCCACGTCGGGGAGCTCACAGTCTCCGCAAGCCCACCTGGGGCAGCCTCCTGAGATGGACATCAAGTTAAAAGGCCCGGAGAAAGTGGGTGTGAAGGTGCTAGGAAAGGCTACAGGAGCGCGCGTGTAGCATCACACCTCTAGTGGCGCGGGCCGGGAGGACCCGCTCAGCCGCTCTCAGCGCGGGGCTGAGGAGGCCGGCCGCGGAGGGGAGGCCGGGGAGGAGGCGGGCGGCTCACCTTGAAGAAGCCCTTGCAGCCCTCGCAGGTGCGCACGCCGTAGTGCTGGCAGGCGGCGTTGTCCCCGCACACGGCGCACGTGCCCTCGCCCGAGGCCGAGCTCCTGCTGGGCGGCGACGGCAAGCTGGGGCTCTCGCCCAGGAGGCTGGACGCGGTGGGGGAGGCCGTGAGGCCCAGCGGCGGGAAGGCCAGGGCGGACGCCCTCTTGGCCAGCGGCAGCCCGTAGGGGTGGCCCTCGAGCGCGGCACGAGCAGCGGTCCGGGCGCCATGCAGCCGGGCGCCGAGGGCATTGCGTCGTCCCACATCGCCCCCGCCTGCGCGGGGAAGCCCGGCGTGGTGGGGGTGGACGGTGGGGACTGCTTGAAGTACATGGAGGTGCTGGGTAGCACCTCGTCCTCCGGCCCGGAGGGGGGCGGAATGGATGGCTGCTGCTGCTGGTGGTGGTGATGCTCATGGTGATGATGGTGGTAACCGTGCGCGCGACCCTCCTCCATCTTAACCAGCGGCCGTGGCCCCGACGGCTGCATTTGGTAGAGGCAGGAGGGCTTGAGTTCGTAGCTGCCGGAGTAGCCCTCCATGAAGGTGCTGAAGCTGGGCAGGGCCGTGGTGGCCGTGGCGGTGATCTCTGTACTGCCAAGGTCCACGGTCAGCTTGGCGTAGTCAGGATTCATGATCTCCGTGGTGTAATCCGAGCCGTATGTTTGTGCTGCATAGCTGGAACCTGGCGGCGAAGGGCTATACTGGGCTTGCACGCAGGGCATATCTGCAGGGAGAGGAAAAAAGGATCTCTCAGAAGCGTCTTCTAGCTAATGGGTGGCAATGGATTCGTTGCTCTCTAATATGGGAACTGGGAAGTGACAGTCTTTCCACCTTTCTAGCAGCATAGATTCCTTCCTTCCCCCTTCCAGTGCTCACGCTCTGTTTCTTTCATTCCTTTTTTATTTCTTTTCTCCTTCCTTCTTCCCTCCCTCCCTCTGTCTCCCCCACTTCCCTCCCTCCCTCCATGGGCAGAAAGCTGAATCCCTTAGGAACTGCCCACGGGGCCACAGGCTGTCAAAATCTAGCCTCCTGGGGACCTCTGTGTCCTCCTTCCTCCCCTTGCCCCGCCCTCCATTAGATCTGGGAAGTTTGATATCTTCCCTCAAAAGCCCAATTGTGTTTTAAAAAGTGATTTTGAGCCCTGGAAATTTAATGGAGTGATCTCAGCTATCAATTTAGGAAGACAAGAAGAAATTCAGTGAATGCCCTGTTGGTTTATTTTGGGAGCAAGAGACCACTACTCCCCCACCCCACCCCCCCAAGTCAACTCTCTGATTTGTAAACTTGAGTGTTAGTAAAAGAAAGAAAAAAAGGTGTCCTACTTGGGACTTACTGGCCCAGTGACATTCTAACATTTTATGAGTGCCAACTGAGGCTACCCATACACTTTGGGGTTGCTTTCTCCCACCCCCTCCCTACTCCTCCACACAGGACTAGCAGCCTGCTCAAACTGGACCCCTGTTGACGATCTCAGCCAGCTGGGTGGTGAGGTGGGAACACAGGCCCAGGAAACGGGCTTGAGGGAGTTTGCACCGTCTGCAAAGAAGAAGATCGGCAGCTGCGACAGAACACCCAGCAAGCCTGCTCCGTGCCGTATACACCTATATATACATACATACATATATAGGTTCCCGGGTATCACTAGTGGCAGCGGTAAAGCACTCAACTGCCAGTGCAGGAGTCATAAGAGATGCGGGTTCGATCCCTGGGTCAGCAAGATCTCCTGGAGGAGGGCGTGGCAACCCACTCCAGTATCCTTGCCTAGAGAATCCCATGGACAGAGGGACCTGGCAGGCTACAGTCCACAGGGTTGCACACAGTCAGACATGACTGAAGCAACTTAGCACATATACATAAGCAAGTGTTAAGTCACTCAGTCGTGTCTGACTCTTTATGACCCCAAGGAATATAGACCTCCAGGCTCCTCTGTCCATGGAGTTTTCCAGGCAAGAAAACTGGAGTGGGTTGCCATTCCCTTCTCCAGCGGTGCACATGTATATGTAAATATATATATATTCCCCCATCTAAGTAATATATCAATAGCTGCTTCATAACTACAGTTTGGTTATAACGTGAGTTATCTACGTATTTTCTTATGATAGAAAAGTTAGCACCTCTAGAAAAGAAAACATTTTCTTAATAGATTTAGTTTTCCTCAGCCCCAAAGCACTGATATCTGGAGTACTTATTATTGTTCAGAGAGGTTGAAGTAACGAGAAAGCCCTGAGACATATTGGATCCAGTGGATAATGTATCTAATAATTTCCTCTTCTTTATGGCTAAATATAAATAGTAAACTGGGCAGTTTCTGGTGGTTGGTTTTTCTGAACCAAAGGAAAACCACGTGTTTAACCATGTCTCTTTGGAGTCTATCTTGTAAAAGGTGTGACTAATAGAAAAGCAAATACTTCACATTTCCTTTGACATCTTTCTCTTACCCACATTTCCAAATCTGATTGAGTCATACATGTATGGGATGAAATCTTGACTTGAAAAAAGGTGTTGAGGGCCTGTTGGAAGAAGCAGTGATGAGGAGAGGCCAGTTCAAGCCTCTGTTTTCCAAGCAAGGCCCTACAAATGATCATTAGTTTCAAGTTAAAGGAGCACTTACCCTGATGTCCAGCTTTTGGGGTGAAATGAAAGGCTAGTCATTAAAAAAAAAAAAAAAAAGCGCATTGCCTGATGTTTCATTTGTTGTCTCCTCTTGGATTTCTCTATGACTCTTTCTGTCATTCTTCACCAGTCCCTACCTATTGTTCTTTGTGACTTTCTGAGGTTTCCAGATAGAAGATGAGCTGACTGGGACTGGGTTCTATTTATTTGCATCTCTTTGGCTAGGCACCTGGTATCCCTTGGTTGTTGTTTAATAGCTAAGTCCTGTCCAACTCTTTTGTGACCTCTGTCCATGGCATTTCCCAGGCAAGAATAGTGGAATGGGTTGCCATTTCCTCTTCCAGGGGGTCCTCCCAATCCGGGGGTGGAACCATGTCTACTGCATTGGCAGGTGGATTCTTAACCATTGAGCCACCAGGGGAGTCCTTTACCAAATGCAAAAAGAAGTGCTACAAGCTAAACCTGCAATCCTTCCTTTTGCCCAACTCAAATTTACTCCTTGGTTTTCAGCTCAAATGCTTTTCCCTCTTTCCCTCTGAGCTTCAATAATCCAAATGTCTGCACTCAAATGATTTGGGTTTTATACAAACAAAAATGCTTTGTATTGTTCGAAATGATCCCATAATTCTTAAATGCCTTAGCATTAAAAGGAAAGCAAAAATGAAGACATTAAAAGGCATCAAAATATCCCAATCTACTGGTGTATTTGCATTTTTCTTAGGAAAAATATCTTTGAGAAATGCAACGCTTAATTTAATCTGGCTGCTCCACTAGGTAGCAACAGCGTGTGGTATCCAGAGGAGCTTCGTGCAAAGAAGCCACCTGTGCCGTGAAATTCGCGGCCAGCAGTCACTCACTGTCCTGGCGCTGGGCAAGTCCACCAGCCTGCTTGTGGGTGTGTGGCGTCTCCACCCACTCCTCCCAGCCCGGGAAGAATAAAGGGTCGTGCCTGCAGACCTACCTGGAGGATATCTTGCGCGCTGAATGGTGGGGCTGGGGGTCTCTCCAGCGGAGGCTGAGCGTGGAGGAGGCGGGGACGGCCGGCTGGGTGAAGTGGCTGCGGGGCCGCCCGGCTCCGCTGAGGGCCCAGTCTCAGCGATGGGGCTTGCCGGGCTGCGCTCTTCCGCAGTAGGCTCTGGGGGGACGGGGGGCGGGCACCAGGAAAAAGGATAAAGGTCACAGTGAGACTATGCTGGGTCACCGAGGCCTGGACTGGGCATACGGGGGTGGGGGTGATAGGGATCTCTAGAAATGACAAAGAATTAAAAGGCTAAGAAAGCAGTGTTTAGGGTGATCGGATTCCCTGGGCAAAAGGCATCACAGCGCCGTGGGGGAGCCGAGCAAAGGTTGTCCGAGCTCACGGCGGTTTTGTGGTTCCCGAACCAAGGCTAGAAAACGCGCAACCAGTTGTTGCCCAGAAATTAATCTGCCTGACCCCCCACTGGTTCCGAGCTAGCGACGTCAGGAAAACCGAAGAATGGGGACACTTGAGGGAAGAGTTCTGCCGGAATCGGAGTCTGTGAGTGTGCAGGAGCGGAAAATATTTTCCAACTTCACCCGCCCCCACCCCTCAAATACAAATTTTACACGTTGCGTAGGAAATGCACAGGGTCCGGAACGAATGCATGAATGCCCCGAGGAATTAAGAAAGTCTGAGCTTTTCATTCTAAATGCTAATGGAGCTTCGCTTCTATTAGAGGCGAGTTTCGGGGTCCAGGGGTCAAGCAAACAAAAGAGCGCAGTGGAAATAGGCCGGCGCTGGAAGCACCGCACAAGGCGGTCGGCGTTTGCCGCTGCTGGTGCCAGCCGAGGGAGGCCCCCCCTGCACCCACGGGCGGTATCCCAGAGAATGGGCGACTTCGAGGCTCCGGGCCACACGGCGACCCGGAGGGGGCGCGACCCGGAGGGGGCACGACCCGGAGGGCGCCGAGAGCGGCTCTGGGGCAAGTGTCTCTGCGCAAAGCCTTAGCGAAACTTTGTACCTGGAAGCGCATTTCGGCGGGCCTGGGGAAAGGATCCCATAACCCCAGTTCAGTTCAGTTCAGTCGCTCAGTCGTGTCCGACTCTCCGGCCTACAGCGCCCCCTTTGCCCGGACCCACTCACAGCTATAAGAATGGGAACTGGCACCCGAAAAAAAAACCGCCAAAATCCCAAAAACCTCGGGCGTGCCCGAACCACGGGTGTCCAATAAGTTTCGTCTCCCGCCGCCCCTGCGCCCGCAGCTTGCCTGAAAGGAGAGAGGGGATCGGAGCCCCCAGATCCGGGAAGCCCCTGACGGCCAGGAAGTGGGGGATTCCCTTGCCCCCGCCCCCCCCTCCCCACCGCCAGCCCCAGCTGATACTACAGAAAGCTTGCGCTCGCCCTAGCGCAGGATCTTCCCACGGCTGTAACGTGCGCTTCCCGTCCCTCCGCATCTTCAATGGGAGTCTCCGGCAACCTCCCACCACCTCCTCCAGGTGCCCACGTTCCCGCCCTTCTTTGGGGTCTTTCAAGCGGAGTCATTCTCCCAAGGATCGACCTCTGCCTAGGGTGGGTGAGGGAAGCGTCTCCCCAAAGAAGCGGAGGCTTCCCTCGCGCGCCCAGTGTTCGCGGGGGTGGGGTGGGCTGAGATGGGGTGGGCAACCCACACCACACCTCCTACAGCCGAGCCTAGTGCCCCTCGACTCTCTCCGCGGCCCCCTCTCCCCCCGCCCCGAAAGGACCGGTTACCTAGGCAAAGCCTCCGCGCCTGGAAACACGTTGCTCCGCTCCCGCTCGCGGCCGCCGCGGCCGGGAACACGGAGCCTCGGGGTTGTAAATTAGGAAGAAATAACTACCTCTGTCAAAGCCCCTTTCTTTCTCGTGGGCAGACGAAAGGAACACCCCCGTGTTCCCCTCCCCGTGGTGGAGTGTGTGAAGGAAACCGTGAAACGCACCATTGTGACCCGGGCTCCTCCACGGAGTTTCCAACCCTGGGGAGCGGGGGCGGAGGTGGGGCGGGGGCAGGAGGAGTGGAGGAGAGATCGACAGAAAGGGAAAGACTGAGATTCTCAGAAAGACCGAGGGAGAGGAGGCAAACCGCGGGGGAGAGTTTCTGCGAGCGCAGGGTCCAAGGGAAGGGGGTAGGGTGGGGTGGGTGCGGGGGTGGGGAGCGGGTGTGAAGGCTGCTGAGGCCCAAGAGGTTTTTGATAGTCCACATTATGAGCATCTTGTTAAGATAAAGAACTCTAATAAATTCAGACTTCATTGACTGTGCTCAGAAGCCACGTCGGGCAGCTTTTCCTCTCCCCAACTCAGTTCTGTAAAACAT